AGAGTTAAGCAAACAAAAGACACATGTTCTTTTTTAAACAGAATAATATATTCAAATAATTTTAAATAAATTTAAATAATATTTTTAAAATGAAATAATAGTGAGAAAATTGCAAAAAAGCCTAGGTAAAAAATAACAGGTCATTGCAATTAGTTATTCTCCTGTATCTTCCTTCATTTACCAACTCATGTATTCATTTGCTCCTGGACACAATGATCACAAATTTACCGAGTGACCACTGTGTGCTATGCTGGCTGCCTGGGAGAATGCAGACCTCTGTAGCCCACGATTTCTACACTGGCAGAGCTTGAAATGACTTTGAACATGAAAGCAGCATACCAATACAAATGTTAAATAAAGTTACAAGGCAATAAGGCAGTTGATGTTTTAAGACAGCATGTAATAGTTCTCATTTTCCTTTCAAAATATAATATGAATAAACATAAGACTTACCATAGCTCAGCCAGACTTAGGTCATCTTCCCCTCCTTCGCTTCCTAGATGCATAGAACTCTTTATGACACAGATTTAATCTGATAAGAGTAATTCTTAAAAGGCTTAATCCTGCTTCTCTCAAACTAAAGTCATTGTACTTAGGCTGCTTGGATGAATTAATTATGGACAGAGACCAGGGTACTAATTAATATCAAAAGTGGAGACATATATATAGAAAACATATGAATTGTGATTTGAAGCTTATTAAGACTTTCTCTGTTATCAGTGATCATGCTGAGTAAAGTTTTTGATCAAGCTTGTTATCTCCAGGAAATAAAAAGTCATGAAGGCATACGAACATGGTTTTGTCCATGTTTAAGCCTAAACAGTCCCTCCTCTAATAAGTTAACATGGACCTAAGGTGCTTCTGTTGTTCACGAGTGAGATTAAAATTTTAACTTCAGAAATCATTAAGTATAAAAATGCATGGTAAAAGTCAAGTATTACCACTTTTAAAAAAAAGAAAGAAGAAAAAGAACAAATTGTAAATCTGCTAGAAGGAAAAAATGGAAGAAAACAAGGAAAAAACTCAACCTTAAAATAGTAAAGAGATAAGAGAATTAGTTTTATCTATATAGAATGAATTGGAGGGGACTAGTAAGAAAAGAAATATGAGGTGACAAGCAGGCAAATTCATTTAGTAAACTGTCACTTAATAGTAATTACGTTTTTAAACTAGAGCAGGAATTTAGATAAAAATACTTCTAGTAGTAGACAAAATACATCTTGTTCTTTGGAATTATTTCACATATTTTGTTTACAAATAACACACAAATAAAGATTCAGACAGATTATACTCAGCTTACAAATTATACAGAGATCAACTCGTGAACTGTTTCCCATGCTTTGTGCCAGGTGTTTTAACCACTGTTTCTCTAATACAGATATGCTGAATAGCACTTTATGGAGCTACCATGATAAGAAAGGACAGAGAAGCTTAAATTTTCTTGTGTGTGTGTGTTTGATAAAAGAGGGTGACTTAAATGATATCCATTTATTCTTTATTTTGACAGAGCAGCACTATAATGAAATAATTTTATTTAATATAAAATTAAAATTAAATTTTAATTTAATTTTAATTTTAAATTTAAATTTTAATTTTAATTTTAAATTTAATTTTAATATAAAATTAAAATTAAATTTTAAATTAAAATTATTTAAAATAATTTTATTTAATGAAATAATTTTTTAACCATTACTGCTAGAAGATTTTTTCCAAAAAATGTAAAGAGTTAAAACTCAATAAAATATAGTCCATGTAACAAAAGAGACTGCAAAGAAAATATCAAGGAAAACAGATGAGGTCCTAAAACATGGATAACTACTGTGATATAATTTTAAATATAAAATATGGGCTATATTAAATATAAAATTACCAGAATATTTCTTTACATTTCTATGATGGCATTACAGTGAGTTTTACTTCTTCTTTACACTTACTTGTATTTTATGCATTTTTTAAACTTTTAAAAAACTGAGATATAATTGAGAAATTATCACCATGATAAGACTAATTAATAATCATCATCACACATAATTAAAAATGTTTTCTTTATACATTTTTTATAATAAACAAAGATTATTATCAGGAAGAAAATCATAAAATACCTGGCCTTTAACTCCAACAAAATAATTAGATTTAGAGTGTTTATTAAGTGAGTAAATTTTATTTTGCTAAAAGGCCAGTATTACTTTCCTTACAACACAAAAATAATGGCAAGTGGCAAATACAATTGATGTGGAGCCGTGCAGTTTAATCCCTGTGTTTTTGGTAAGTTGTGACATATCCACTGTAAGTTAAGTTTGGCCCTTCTGAAGGAGTAAAATACATTAGATGGGTCATAACAGCATTGCTCTTGGCACATGAACAGTGGAGAGTGAAAATCAAACAAGACCTTCCAAGTAGTTCTGCTTTTTACAAAAATACATTTTGTAATGGTTTATTTCCACTTCAATGGAACATACAAATCACGTCTTAAAAGAAAGAGAAAAAAAAAGTCAAATGCTTGGAAAGGCAGTTGTGTTAGATGAAGAGAATTGAATCCTCTGCAGATTTTAGAGCATCTTTCAAGTTGGCCTTTTACAATCAGTTTTTGAGAATATTTTTCAGGAAGATGGAGGGGAAGCCTTGCTTTGGTGCGGTGGGGCTGGTGCAAGTCTTGGTACTCTGGCAGCTGGGCTAATCCAGGAGTCAAGCACGAAGATCCTGTTTGCTCACAGAGTAGCTTGTTCTCCTCTGACACGTCCTTGCCCTTTGAGGAACAGAAGGGAGTAACATGTTTTACCATAATTCCTGGAATCTCTCTGCCTAATGCCTGGGTATCACCATTTCTCAGGCCTCTGAGCAGATGCTGTGTAGCACCTATTAGGAGCATGGTATTGAACTTCCTGCTGCCTAAGGCATTATCAAGGAGTCAGCATCTTTGATTTTCCGTTTTCCTTCTGAACAGTTGGCATAAACATGAGAATAAGCCACAATGTCACTTTGTGCAGCAACAATGACCTTACTCTCGACTTGTCTGCATAACCACGCAAATGCAACTCTTATAATATACATATTTGAAAAACCATAATGAGTCTCATGTGATCTGGACCTGCTTCCCATGAAGCAAATCACCGGAGATATGCAGTGAGGGATGTGTGGGAGAAAATGCTTCTCCAAATCCCTAAGAATTGAGACAAAGTATTCTGAATTCCATGAACTAAATAAAGTCTTTGGATGTAGCACCAAGTGGTAAATCTGTGTGAGCCCCTGAAAATCTTCTTTTGATTAATATCCCCCTTTGGGCCTCGGCCGTGACTCCAGCAGTTCTGTCCCTCCTGCATCATCTCATAAAGAGCCAGCATATTTTAGGTTTATATCAGTGCCTTGCACATACACTACCCAAGTAATGTGTTCTTAATTCATAGATGTGGCTCTGACAAGTATCAAAGCTTCACACTTTGTTTTAGCTACATCTAATTCAGCATATTTTTTCATAGTTTTCCTGTGACTTGACTTTGCCAAGTTTGGAGGGTGTATTGAGTGTGGCCTCTGTGGATAGATTAGATAACTGTTAGATCCCTCCCAGCCCCGAGGTTCCATAATTCTACGGCTTGATACTTAACCCACAAATCCCTTAAAATATATTTCAATTGTTTCCTCTTTCTTCCTTAGCTTTCCCCTACTCATCAGTAAATATTTAAGAAATAAATATCATGAAATTTTGCTGTATGTAATAGAGAACCAAAATAACAGTGCTTTAAGTAGATAGAAATAAATTTTTTTTCACGTGGAAGTTAGGATTTAGAGTTCAGGACTGGCGAGGTGGATCAGTTGCTGTCTGGGACTCAGGCTACTTTGAGATTTCCACAACATCATTCCTAGGGAATAATCTTCACTCTTGTGGTCTCAGTGGTACCTCCAGCCACCACATCCATGTTTTAAGCAGAGTGGAGGAAAGGCAGAAGTAGCCTGCACTTGCCTTTAAGGTATGTGTTGGAACTTACTTACATCATTTCCCTAACATCCTATTGATCAGAACTTTCCACAGGGTCACAGCTAGCTGCAAATAAGGCTGGAAATGTTATCAACTTCCCTCCCCTCTCCCTGCCCTTCTGCTCCCCAAGTAGACATGTGCTCAGCTTTAACTGAGGATTTCTGTTATTGTTGGCAGAAAGTTAGAAAGCTTATTAAAATATACATAGCACAGTCAGGCACTACACACACACACACACACACACACACACACACACACACACATGAGTTTTCATAAAATCTCATTATTTTGAACTCTTTAGCATAGGGAAGAAGATGTATTTTCCAGAATCCAATTAAAATTTGATTCTATAACAATCAATTGCATACCTCTTTTGAACTGCAAGTTAACCTAGTGTGTAAGCGCATTAGCTTATGCCTTAGATGGCTATAGTGTTGTCAGTTACCCCTGTGTGATATGAGCAAGTTAATCTCTGGAATTCTCCATTTCCTCACCTGAAAATGGATATAATATATATATATCTCACAGTACTGTCACACTTAAATGATATAATTTATATAAATCTCTTAAAATAGTGTTGGATACATAGCAAGTACTCAATAACATTAGTTTAAATTTTTTTAAAAAATTCTTAAGTACTGTGACAATAAAATTTACATGAGTCACATTCTCTCCACTAAATGACTTATATGGCAGGGCAGATGTACTATGGAGAAGAAAAGAGTGAAAGTAAGAGGCAAGAAACTTTTGTAATTCTTATCTGATTGTATGAGCTTGAGCAAGTTACTTCTCTTAAGTCTGAATTTATTCATTTGAAAAAATGGCAACATTTATAACGTGTCAGTTTCTTGAGTATGACAAAGTACATGATATACTTTGAAAACTCTGTTCTAAGCTTAATAATAATATAATAGCTGGTATTAACTAGAATTAATTCACCCCAAATTTGTGCTGAGATTTATACACATATTATCTCATTTAACGTGTATAAGAATCCTGTAACAGGGTATTATTAATTCCATTTTAGAATGAGAAGAAGGAGGCTTAAACTTCCAAGATCACACAACAATTTGTTGGAGGACCTAAGAATTCAAACCCAGGTATGCTTATCTCTAAAGCCAATATTGTAAAATACATTCTACGGTGCTTCTAACAATGGAGTGGTTCAGTACACGGGAAAATGTGCTGGGAACAGTGGATGGTTTAATTTAACCAGATCGTAGTGAATATAGGGGACTCGTGGAAGTCAAGACTGGAGGGTAGGCTGGAGACACTATTTGGAGAGCTTTCAGTGTAACAGTGATGATTCAATACTTAACTGAGAAAGAAATGAGGAACTATGGAGTGTTTTTTTGAATATACAAGCTGTGGCTTAGAAAGAGTGGAATAGCTGAATTAAAGAAGGAAGAAAGATGAAAAAAAAAGCAGGGAGATGACTAAGAGGCTATTTTAATGTTCCGCTGTGCACAAGATCTAGGGCACTGGTCGTGGGAATACATAGTGAGTCTGTGTCTAGGAATGTTGAAGTCCTCACGTATCATTTATTAAGCAGTGTGTTCAGTAGGAAGTCATTATTGTGCCATCTTAAGGCAACCCTCCCATATTCGCAGGAGGGCAGCAAAGTTATACCACAATCAGAATTCTGGGTTTGCAACAGCTCTACCTGAGCCATACCTTTGCCATATTTTCCCTGCTTGTGACTTACCTCTTGTTTTCTCTGGTTTGCTTCAAATCTGTCTCTGACTTTGGCACCTTTAGTTTTCCTGGCCTTTGACCTGTGTGTTGTAAAGTGTAGGTATTACTATTATTCAGATATGGTGAGGTCAACAGATAAGGAAAGGATTGCCATTGAAAAGATTTTGTTACTCGTGGTATCCGAGTGAAGGGAGCACATCACACCATGCAGGAAGCACCAGAGTTAGGAGGCAGAGAGAGTGAGGGGGAAATGTGAGCAAGAGCCTTTACTGTGAGGGACTTCCCTGGCAGTTCAGTGGTTAAGCCTCCATGCTCCTAATGCAAGGGAGCATGGGTTCCATCCCTGGTCGGGGAACTATGATCCCACATGCTGCACGGTGTAGCCCCCAAAAAAGAGCCTTTACTGTGGTTTCCACAGGCAAGACAGGACAAGCAGATTTAGGTTTGGCTAATTTGAATAATTTCAGTGGGCTCTGGGGTGTCGGGGCTATCTCTAGTTGTCTGGTACCTGGCCCTAGGGTAATTAGCACAGAGGAATAATGGCCCAGGGTGTGAGAGCCCTATAAAGGAAGTTGTTGGGGTGTGAGTTCTGGATACATTGGTTTGCACAGGAAAGGTGGACTTTCAGGCCATTCCTTTACTATTTTAAGAGTTGGCTAAAGGGAGGGACAGTCCCTACAAGGTCTCTAAAACCCCAAGATGTCAAAGCATCAAATGCAGAAACTAGAAAGTGTGGTTATTACACTCTGACCCACTGCTTTTCCTCCTAGCTCATAATAGATCTTTTTACCCTTCCCCCTTTATTTTTAATTAATTTATTTTTTTGCGGTACACGGGTCTCTCACTGTTGTGGCCTCTCACGTTGCGGAGCACAGGCCCGGGCGCACAGGCCCAGTGGCCATGGCTCATGGGCCCAGCTGCTCCGCAGCATGTGGGATCCTCCCAGACCGGGGCACGAACCCTTGTCCCCTGCATCGGCAGGCGGACTCTCAACCACTGCACCACCAGGGAAGCCCCACCCTTTATTTTTTATTTTAATTTTTTAAACATTTATTTATTTATTTATTTATCTTTAGGCTGCATTGGGTCTTAGTTGCAGCACATGGGATCTTTTGTTGCAGCACTCAGGCTGTTCATTGTGGTGCATGGGCTTCTCTCTAGTTGTGGTGCATGGGCTCATTAGTTGTGGCAAGTGGGCTCCAGGGCACAAGGCCTCTGTAGTTGTGGCGCTAGAGTTCCAGAGCACGTGGGCTCTGTAGTTGTAGCATGTGGGCTCTCTAGTTGCCGTGCACGGGCTTAGTTGTCCGGCGGAATGTGGGATCTTAGTTCCCCGGCCAGGGATCAAACTGGCGTCCCCTGCATTGCAAGACCAATTCTTAACCTTCTTGACTCAGCAAAGTCAGACTTACTAACTAGTATTTTTTGAGATTTCTGGCTTAGTGAAAGGCATATATTAACGGGCAGGAGGAAGTGGGGAAAGTAGTTCCAGTGAGCAAGGTCCCAGACTAGCATAATGGCTGAACACTTATGTCTACAGTGATGAAGACAGTGAGAAGTAGAATTCAGATGTATTCAAAATGTTGTGTCACAATCTGTATGATCTGTGGCACTGGTTAGTAGTTAACATACAGAATTGGTGTATGTTATATACAATTCTTTATTCAGGAAAGTAATGCTACGTTAGAAATCGGGGGGAATACAGTCTGTTCTCTACGTTGACACTATATGACTCTGAGTAAGTCACTTTGCTTCAGTGGCTTTCAGTTTTCTCTTTTATAAAGAAGGGATTGGATTAGGTGAGCTGTGAGGTCCTGCTAGCTTCAGCATTCCATATGTTAATGCTAAGACAAAAATAAAATTATTAAATACATATGGTACAGTATTTATAGGGATTTCTTTTCATTTTTAACTTGATATGCTAACCAGACAGACTCTTTTAGTTTTCAGCTCAAAATATTCTATTACATCCCTCATCCTTCCCTACAAAAGAAGTGCAATGTTAGGGAATTTATTACATATAACATAACATGTGTTTATGGTTCAGTATGAGAGAACCCACTGTTTTTTCCCCCCAGTTTGGGTAAAAAACAGCAGCTTAATCAGTGATTATGAATGCTGAGCCCAGCTTTCCATTTACAAACAGTGAGGCTGAAAGCTATAAACATTCTGACTTCTGCCTGGGGAAGAGTTGAGTGTTCCAGCAAACATACATTACACTAGAAAATCCAGGCTTCACTTTTAGTGTCTCCATAACATGCTGTTTCCATAAGTACACCCAAGTTCGCAGAACGTCCTCAGGATTTGGGGTGGCACTTTTCCTCACAGGATTCACATTGCATCCGTAGAACTGGGCACATTGAAATCAAGTTCTAAGAACTTATTTGACATTCTCTCCTCTTTTTTGGTTGAAACGAGGTGGGAAAATCAGTCTATTGACTTGTAAAACCTAAGATGTTGATCTTTATTTAAAATTTTTGTTTTTATAAAGCACTTGACACATGTATTTACATCTTGAGTGAGGAAAGAGAGGGCTGCTTATTTTCACTGGCTGAGTAGCAATCTTTAAATTCATATTATAATTTCAATGGTCAAAACAGGGGAAGGCAAGTGGTTGTTTATGAATGGTGGTAATGAGGAGAAGTAGAAGGAGGGAAGAAGGGAGCCTAATTGAATTCTCAAGTACTACTTATTTGGTAATGTTTTCTTAACTTGGATTATAGGAAAGCTCAATAATATTGTTCTTTTACTTGTAAATTGTTAAGAGAATGTCTTGAAGGTCAAGTGTTCAGAAATGCAAAGTAACAGATTTTAATGATAGACTTTTCTGTATGAACAGTATGGTCCCATGTTTCTCAGCACCTCTAGGTCAGGGGTGATGTTCCAGGGATTTTTTGAAGATAGAGAATAAACATGCCCATTTCCGCAGAACATCAGTTTTTACTTGTTTATTAAAGTAAATGTTATGAAAATAAAAGTATCTATATTTAAAGTAAAACAAAAAATTGAGTAAAATTTCCACTAATGAGAGGCCTTCCTGGTTACACTCCCTCATCTGAGGGTGATTAGAGTCCAGTCATGCCTGGGTATCTGTGGGGGATTGCTTCCAGGACCCCCATGAACACCAAAATCCATTGATGCTCAAGTCCCTTATATAAAATGGTGTAGCATTTGCATATAACTTACACACACCTTCCTGGATACTTTAAATCATCTCTAGATTTCTTATAATACTTAATACAATGTAAATTCTGTGTGAATAGTTTTAATTACAACATAAATGCTATTTAAATAACTGCAGGCACACAGCAAATTCAAGTTTTGCTTTATGGAACTTTCTGGAATTTTTTTGCCCAAGTATTTTTGATCTGGGGTTGATTGACTCCAAGGATATGGAACCTGCAGATAGGGAGGGCCTACTGTATTTATTCTTCTCTGTTGATAGTGTAAGAGTCACCAATCTAGACTATCCCTTTTACTTTAGAGTTTAGGAAACTGTGCCACAGAGATGTTAAGTTGCCATGGCAACCCAGATCTGCAGATTCTGATACTATTCATTCATTTGCTCAATAAATATTAAGCGTCCACTCAGTATGTTCAAGGTACTCTTATTTGGTTTTGCTGTCAGACAGGCTCTACCCTTCTGATACCATGATGACAGAACCATGCTCCAGACCTTATAATATCTCGTTTTCGTATCTAATATGAGAAACAAAAATCTGTTTTCCACAAATAACAGGAGGAGTTTATTGCATTGCATCAGGCCTGATTGGTTCATGTGCTTATTACAAAACCAATCACTTTCTGGGGGATTGTAATGCTTTCATTGGCTTATGCCAGGTCAAGTGTTGTATCTCTTCCTGGTAGGGGGGAACTCATTCAAAACGCCTAGTCAGAAAATAGAGGACAGATTGGTTGCCCTGAAGGAAAAATGGGTTTTGATTATGAAGGGAAGAGTGACTAGATTCTAGGTGTCAAAAATACGAGGGGCGCAACAATAATACTCCTATAACAATAATGCTGATGATTACTTTTATAATTTAAAGAGTTTAGTTTTTCATACTACTATGGCAGAGGTTGTAATTTGGCAGGCTTTGGGCCAAATTTAGCCTGCATAGTGTTCTTAAAAATAAGTTTGAGTGGCTTTAGAGGAAGCATGCTTCCATGACTCACTCATTGCAGTCTTTTGCTTCATTCACACATATTACTTATGACCTACGACTCCATGAAAGAGGGACTCTAGGGACTCTTAAAGATCGTAATTAACTAATAATTATTTTAAGAATGGGTATCATCCTATATAAATAAACATGATACTTTCTGTTACCTTAAGTGAGTTGCTAATAACCTCTTGCCTTTCCATGACATTTTATGTATCATTATTTTGAAATTTAGCACAAGTTAGCAA